CTTCTCTAATGTGCCTTGTAATATCATACAATATAGTATAATACAATATAATATCATATAATATAATATAATATAATATAGTATAATATAATATAATATGCCATAATACTGCAAGGTGGGGTCGAGCGGAACGCAGTCCTCCTCGACTCCAGGGTCGACGCGGCCGACTGACTAAGCTGGTGGGATACCAGGAAAATGATCGTTTGTGGAATTTTTATGCCCAAAACCGCACTGACCGGCTAAATTTATACAGTACGAGATGGATCTGGAAGACCGTAGATGTAAGTCTGGAGGCCTTTGCATGGCTCGTCTCGACCCACCTCGTTGAGCCCAAATGGTCATGTGTTCACCACCCCTACCCAATGTAATGTACCTGGAGGGGAGGCGTTACATCGATGCCTAGGGCTCGGAGTATATTTCCGGCTGTTGCTATGGCTATGGGCCCAGTAGGGATCCCGGTACATTCAATTCGTTTTCCGTGGGACAATCCAGCTGGGAGAGTGTACTGCACTTGGGGTCTTCGTTCTTGGACACCTGCGCAACGGGTGGGGGGGACCCCACACTTACATTAGTTGTTGGAGGTGGTACGTGTTCGAATCACTCGTAGGGTCGCGGTCACTCTCTTCCCGGGTGCTTCATGAAGCATTGCCTGTTGTTGGTTGCGTACTTTTCCTAAGCACCCTCAGGCGTGCTTCGATGGAGGCTCAACAGCTGCCGCAGACCCCAGAGACTCTTGGTTTGTTTACAGTTTGCTCCCAAGGTTGATATACATGTTTTCGCATTGAGAAGGGTTCCAGCTCATCTTTGGACGCAGCCGGCGTCAGTTGTCACCGATTCGCCTTTTTGGAACATGTCGATTGGGTGAATAATGTCCATGTGGCCAACGGGCGAGCCAAGCAGCCAATGATAACCCTTGGAACATAGATGCCTTGCCGCTTTCCATCGCTTTCTTTCTCTCTTCTCTTCCCTCTGTTGTCCTCAGGAGCTTCCCCAAAAAGAGGATGCGGATGCGCCGCCGCGCGGCTCCCGAAGCATGGATGAGCGGCTTGGTGCATTTTCGTTTCCAGCGAAAGCATGGAACCCTTTTCAATTCATGAGCCATGGTTGTGTGTTGCCTTGCTCCCTGTCGAATATCTTGTATTCCTTGACGGCAATGGCGCGTTGGTAGTGAAGACGATGACGATGATGGTGACGTCGAGGAGGAGGCACAGGCGCAGGACGAGAAATCTGTTAATGTAAAGAGGATGGGGATGGTGCTGGTGATGCTGGCGACGTGGGTGCTGCTGCAATACTGGCACTGGTGATTGATTTCGACAAGTGCCTGTATGGATGCGTACATACATACATACATACATACATACTTACTTACATACATACATACATATATGCGTACATACACCTACAACAGCGCCTACACCTGCACCCACACTGGACCGACACATTCAGGTGCACATGCAGGTAGGTAAACATACATGCATGCAAATACATGTACATATACGTTACATAAGCATATGTTATAAATATCTACTCATACATATACGGATATACATATACATACCCATGTACATGCATGCGCGCATACATCCATCTTGCACTTTCAGGGCAGGAGTCCGGGTCGGACGCAGCCGTGTTGGCATGCACCAATTCAGCGTGGGGAGGTGGCGCAGAAAATCCACAGAGCACGTGCTCAACACCATAACAAAAGCACAAAGAACAATCCAAACTTTGGACCTTTACAAAGTGCAGGATCTTCCTCATGCTACCGGCCATCCCTACACAGTTAACATACCCAGGATGTCATATTAACACAACCTCGTCGAGGTGATTTCGGGGACATCATAGCAGCTGCGATTAAATCAACAACAGTGCTCACTTAACAGGAGTATGAAGGCCGTAGGACCTCCACACTCAAAGATTGCATCACTCACTTGCTCCGGGACTGCTAAGGCAGGATACCAGAGTCAGGGTCATCAGGTCCAGCACCTCGTCGTCCGTGTATTACCCCTCTCCGTAGGACTTGCAGTGTGGCCAGCAGCTTCCAGTTTGATGATCCAGATGCCATCGCCTGACGAGCCACTGCTTTGCTTGATGACTCGCACCTGGAAAGCCAGCATCTTCTTGAAGCCAACGCGAAATCCTCTACCGAGTAGTATGCGAGCGTGTCCTCCTTACAAATGCTCAACATGGCCACTTTGCACAGCGTGTCCCTCGAGCCCATGAACGCCATCACATCGGAGAAAGTGCATTAGTTGCCAGCTTTCCGTTTGATGATCTAGATGCCCTCGACTGACGAGCCCTTGTTCTACTTGACGACTCACGTGTGGAACGCCAGTGGCTTCAAGAAGCCAGCCGTAAACTCCTCGAGCATGCAGTATGCGAGCGCGTTCTCCACACCAATGTTCAACATGCCCACGTGACGAGCCATGTTTCTGCTTGATGATGTGCACACAAAGCAAGCGTCGTCTTGAAGCCATCTGCCAAATCCTGTGCCGTGTAGTATGCGAGTGTGTCCGCCAAACCAATGCTCACCATGCCCACCTTGCACAATATGTCCTTCGTGACCGTAGCCGGCAGACGCACCCATGGCGGGTGCTGTGGCGCTACAATGTTCCGGGTAATTTGGGCACTACATACATACATGCATGCATACATACGTGCATACCTATAGGTACAGACATGCGTGTTCAGTTGTTTTGTATCTTTCACATATTTGTATATATGTATAGATGGCACGGACGTTGCTGCAGCTGCATGTATATACGTATGTATGTGAGCATGTGGGTTTGCATGCACGCGTATGTGTGTATATTTATATATACACATACAGGTGTATGCGTACACACACACATATATATATATATACATATATATATATGTGATTTATAGATGTACATATATATATATAGATAGGTGTGTATATATATATATATGTATACACACGCATACATGTGCATGTGTATAGCGCAAAGATTGGCATAGAGATGTGTATATCTATAAACATACATGCATATGTATATGTGCATGCATGCATGCATGCATGCATGCATTCGTCGGTAACATGGTATATGTACGTCTGTGTCTATGCGTGCGGAGTGATCGTTCTGATGACCCAAAGAGGACTGTGACTGGGACGTTACAACGTTTGCCACGCTTCACAGATAGAAAAGCGTTTCGGTTTGCCGTTCTGTTCGGGCAGGTTATCGTACCTGATTGGCAACCCCATGGTGCGTCGCCTCGCCGTCACTCGGCCGCTGATTGGATGGGCTGGGAAGCTGATGGACCAAGCCTAGTACACATGCTGCTGCAGTGTGTCTCGTACTTACACGTGTCTGTCGGAAGTTGTTGCAGGGGCTCGCTTGATGTTTCATGCATCACTTGCAACTACGGGTATGAATGCCACAACTGACTCCCGCTCTGACTTTGCAGTCGTGCGGTTATGAAGGAGCCAAATACCTTGTTGGAGTTTGGTGTTGCATGCCTGTAGTGGCGGTGCGATGGTGGAGGGTCCCGATGTTTCTCTTGAAGGCCTTCCGGATTCGGATGCTTCAGCATAGTGAGAGCAGGCCACAGGAAGGAGTGTTTCAGCAGGATGAGCCGAAATCGAAGGGACAAAGCGATGTCGCTGTGATCGCTCAGCAGCTTAGCTGTTATCCCAGTGGTAACTTTTCAGACACCTCAAGCTGAATATTTTTGAGACCAGGTGTGAGCAACCGGATCGATAGACTATGGCTTCCTACTTTGCATTCGTGCTGAAAATCAAAGTCAAACGAGGTGTCATCGCGGGTGACTGGAGAGTTCTCAGCTGCCCCTGCGCGCGTTTGGGCCCTGCTCACTGGTGCTGAAGGAGAGTGGTCGGGGGCATAGTCGTCCATTTCGGCAAACACTGAGTGCAATCCAGACGGTTGGCGTCGTACCAATAGGTCTATAAGTCAAAGAGTTCACGCAGGAGCCATCCATCGATGCTGAACAAGCCCAAGCGCCTTGAACCACCAAGTCCGAGCAGTCACGACCTGCAACAACATGTCAGCACTTAAGAATACGAAGACTGTACCACAGCACGAGGAATGCTATGGTATCCCGTGGCCGCTGCAGCTACAGGATGTAACAGGCCGCAGCACTCAGGGGCATGGTGGGGGTTGGTGGGAGGGGCGAGGGGGGGTGGAGAGCTGGGCAGGGCAGGGAGGTCGTGACGAGAAAGGGACAAGTGTTTCTGCAATGCGATGAGGAGGGATGACAATACCATGCCCCATCCCAATTGCTGCCATAATGATAGCCATTCAGCTCACCAATGGTGGATTCTGTAATATTCTATTCGACAGAAAGGATGACGCTTATGAATGATGCTGGCCAAACTGATGATGAGAATGGTGACGATGCATGCAGGGTTGCATACGGTGATTACTTTGTCGATGTTCGAAGCTGGAAAGCAGTAGGTAGACGAGACTCTAGAGGCACGACGATCATGATGAGGATGCCGACAGTGAACGTGATTACAGCAGTTTCGACAGCAATGATTTTCTGGGAGCAACATGTTCTTCGTCGTCACAGTCGTAGTCGCCGTCATACTGTAGTCGTAGTAGGCGTGGCAATGACAGTGGCAGCAGTGGTGGTATTTAGCATCGGTACTGTAGCACCAGCAGCAACAACGGACGTGGAAGGAGCAACACGTCCTCCGCATTTTCGAAGCCTGAGATTCATGCGCCGAAGGTGGCCTCTTGCAGACCGAGACAGAGCTATGTGGTGTGGTTGGGGCATTCGGCCAGGAAGCGCGCCGCTTCCGGTGGAAGGCAGAATCAGTTGGGGTTTATGTGGTATTTACTTCGGACGTGCCACGCGGGAGCGAAAAAAACTGTCGAGTGTGCTTATTGGGTTCAGGCTTTCAATCCCTTCGAGGTGTCTTGTCCGGCCGAATGAAGCCAAGGCATGCCAAGGCAAGGAAATTATGAAGCTTTTGCCGGGAAATGCCTTAAGGCTGTCTCGATCCAGCTGCTGCCGCCCAGGTCCTCAAAGCCGACTTCACAGAATCTACAGGCCAGCTTGAGATGCTGGGTAGCGTTGCTCCTTGCAAGCACTTAAAGGTCCAAGATTGGGACTCTGTGGGCTTGGCTGATGAACGATTCTTGGAGTTCTTGGTGAATACAACACAATTTGCGCATGCGGCCGCTTCGATGTTGCCATCTTTTGTTTGGAGCTCCGGCAGGGTCTGCGACGGTTCGGTGTCCGGCTGGTGGTCGCCTGGTGGTACCTATAGGTTCAGAAGTGTTCAGAGTCCGAATTTGTAACTTTCTCTGTCTCCCCGTGCCTTGTCTCGTATGTCATTCTGCTTCCTGATTGGGGTTTCAGGACGGCGAAGACAACTCGTTCTTGCACACCATCCACGTTTCGGCTGCTTCTGCCGGCAGCGGTGCAATTGTGATTGGGATGCATAGCACTTGCCCGAGTACGGCCTTGTGGGGAGTGTGCCGGTGGAGGACAGGTCAGCAATCTAGGTTCCTAGGTGTTCATATGTGTTCATGAAGGTGCCTTGTTGCTGTCTAGCGCCCAAAGGAAACCAAAGCCAAGGTTGTGTCAGAGGTTCGATACGCACCATCGCCTCCGCTTCAGACGCTGCTGAATGCATTGGGAGGGCGACCCGGCTTGTTCACTGCGAAATCCACGTATACATAAATAAACAAATAAATCAATAAATAAATAAATATATATATATATATAATATATATTATATATATATACACATGATTTATTAATTTATTACTATATTACTATATTCTTAAATTAGTATATTTTCTTATATAATATTATACTATATTATGTTATATAATAATAATAATAGTAATAATAATAATATTTGTATATGCAGGTCCGAGTCGACGAAAGGCAGCAGTATCTCCTTTGCGGTCTTCCTGTGAGTCCAGAAATGTACCTCGGAATCCTCAGGCAAGAAGCAAACAGCCGGTCATGCACGCGCATGCATTGCAGGTTATGACTCGTAGGTCCTGGGTAGAGACCGCTTGTCAAAGTTTGAACCAGCTACTACTGGCAGTACATATAAACCCAGCCCGGTAGAACACACGCAACTACGGGTTCCGGAACCTTGCAGGTAGCAGAACAAACCCTCGACCATTCCTGGTCGGTTTACTTGACACGGGCACTGTCGCTCCTGCCTACAAAGCAAGTCCAAGCATGATTAAGGAGAGGCTCGCAGACTGCTTCCCACGCGTCTGTTTTGCGTAGGCTCGCCGTGCCGTGGCTATGAGATAGTTGCCGAGGCTTGAAGGATCTTGAAGGAAGGCATTCGCTGCGGATTGTTCCGGGTGCACTAGGTTAGTATCGTTACGGGCTGCTGTCGAAGTTTGTCTGGCGTGCGAAGGCTGCACATGTTTTCGAGAGGGAGTTGGATGCAGGACTGTGGTCAGGCATCTTTTTCCTGCGATCTTCGCCTGGATGTCGAGTATAGTCTATTTATTAGGTCTTGGTGGACGGAGACGTTGACTTCGACCCCAATGCTTTCTACAACCTCATTGGCAGTGGTCTCAGACTGCAGACTGCAAGGAGGGACTACCGCGCTTCGGGTGTGCTCAGGCATGAGAATGCCAGCATTCCCTGCCGTTTCGTCGTCGAATCGCGCGCAGCCAGAGTTGCCTTGAGAAGTAGTGCATAGAACCATCATGTTGGACTGGAATTCCGAGTGGACGCACTGTTGACATTCTGGAACAGACGCAAAGTCTTCAAGCTAGAGCTATAGTTCTCGCACCCAATCCCGCACCGTCTTGTGCAAAACCAATGCGCAAAAATGGGCATCATGCATCAAGGAAGGCGCAAGCAAAAAACACACTCGCCGTTTCAACGAGACTCTTTCTTGAGAACTTCTGAAAGGTCGCCTCATCGACCTTGTTGCGCCCTTCGAAGACGGTGCACTCCAACCGAATGGAATCTCCTGTGCTTTGAGCAGTTTCGGGCATGAGCCGGTGCAGGGATTGCATGCGAGGATGCGCCTGCTTCTTGTAGCAGCTGCTATAGTGCTTAGTAGAAGTACGTAGGTGCGCATAAAATATGTCTGTGCCTGTGTTTCAAGCTTTGCAGATTTGGGCAGAGGTGTTCAATAGGAAGCCGGTGGTGACGCTGCGGAAGTCTGAGGCAAGGGCGGCCGTCGCGCGAATGGCTGGCCTGGAGAAGGGTGAGGTGCTGGTTTGTGGGGATAAAGAGTTCAGAGTGACTTACGGGAGAGGTCAATGCAAAGTCATGGTGAAGAAAATGAGAAAAGCTGACGATCCTTTCGACTTGCCAAGACGAGGCAAAGTTCATGATTTCCCGTGCATTTCGGTTTCTGGCGAGAGGTCAGCATCCTGGAGCTGGGATGCGGCTCAGGCCGATGGGTGCAAGGTGTCTACAACAGCTCGTCAGGCGACGCTTGGCTGGAGGCTGACATCCATGTGTGTTTTCGGGCCGAGGCGTCAAACATGCTCGGCATGTAGAGTTGGACCTACTATATGACTACATAAGAGGCAATGGTGAAGTTTTGTGGCTTTCGGCCTGCCTCAGCAATTCAAGAGAAGCCATTTGTGCCGGATTTCGTTGCTGGGATTTCCGCAAGGATCGCGGCACGATGGAACATGTATGAAATGTGTAGATACGATCGTGCAGCTACATGTGCATGTCCCGCACCAGCCATGCAGCCGCAGGTACCTACAAGCGATAGGCACGGGAATGTGCACATGGGCATGTCTGTATTGTTATATTGTGTATATAAATGCACGCATGAAAAAACAAACACACACACACATGCAAGCTTGTCCTCTTGATGTACTCTCTATGTAGACAGCTGTATAGGCACCGCGGCGGCACGGTCTTTGCGTTTTGATTCATGCCGTCTCGTACAGTAGAGCCTCATTTTCTGCAACGGTTGAGGCTTGCTACGGGAGGCTGCCCTTTGAGGCTTTGCATGTTTGCAATGGCGGGCCGAGATGAAAGCAGGAATGTGGGAACATACGCAAACTCGAGATCCCGACACAGCTGCCCCAGCATTCAGTCCTAATAATAATAATAACAATAATACTACTACTAATAATTTCTGAATGAACTGAACCCTCTTCTCCTAGGCCTTTTTGCTGTTTCTGCGCTGCTAGTAAGAGTAATGAAGCGAAAGGCATGCTTTCGGCAATACGTGTCCTGTTGGAGTGAATGGAGTCCCACACCTCACAAATCTGGCCCTGCTGCTCAACTTCCTCAAGGTACTGCGCTACTTGGGCGTGGACTCCTCCAGCACAATGGCAGAGGAAGCAGTTCCCCGGCTCCATGTGCAGCACGCCCTCCGACAACTTTCAAGTGAGGCTATTACAGTGTTTTTCGAGTGCTGACAGAAATTCCTTGTGCAAATGAAACAGTGTTGCCCACCTGTAAGCAGCAAGGATGCACTAAGCTATTCACCCGGGGTTGGGGCTCAGTTTGCGGCGAGTTCGCGAAGCCCCAGAAACTCCTCACTCAGAAAGCTTTCATAGCATACTAAGGAATTCAGAACCAGCCCAGTCTTTCCGAGAATGGCAAAAAATAGTTGGTGGTTTGTTTTTAGTAAAGTGCCTTGGCCTGGCTGTTTCAGTTGTTGCTGGAGTGCCAATAACTGCTTTACTGTCCCTACTGTTTTCTTTACTTGCTGGTTTAGTCTCGGAAGTTTGTTTCTCGAGCCAGGAACGCCTCGAAACCTTCGCGAACCATTTCGTAGCATTCCGAAACATGCCGCAAGTTTGTTCTGGCGTTCGTAGCTTCTTACAATGCTTGTAGATGTAGGGAAACTGTTTGCAGATAGCCTTGTTCCAATCAGCCCATGGCCTATCGGTTAGTACCTGGTGCCAATCTCACTCAAAGCAACTTCAGCATACTAGGAGTTCTGTGAACCAGGGGCCGGAAGAAAGAGGCCATAGCGACCCCCTAAAACGGGCAGGTCCTTCCGAGAAGGAGCCCGAGAAGCAGCATAGCCATGTTGCCATGTGAGGCGCGAGCAGTGTCCAAGATCCCGGCTGCTAGCATCGTCCAAGCCGATGCTCGGCGTCCGGGCACCTTGAAGGAGGTGCTGCTCTCAGGCTTTAAACGTAGGTTACGTAGTTCGGCAGGCGCATCGGGCTTGTAGGGTGTCGGGTTGTGGGCAACAGCCGAAGGATGTCGTGCTCGGTCAGGAAACCGTATTCTGGAAACTGCACGATTTTCAGTCCACGACCAGTTCATTACGCGGCTTCAAGATCGAACTGTGCATGACCATCATCCGTAGCACGGCTTGAAGCAGCCAACCGTCAAGTAGGTCTGTATGATTGCTTGTATCATGACTGGAAGGTTTTATACATAAGTGTCTCTGTTTCGCCCAGAACTCTGAACGGCACACCTCATGTTTCGTTTTGATTTGCTTCGTGTTGGCTTAGGTGTGGCTGATACTTTCCGACATCACTTCTTGAAGAACATTACACTTTCATTACTTGATCCAATCGCTGTGGTTCTGGGCGCCTGTTTGTGAGAGACCCTGCATCGCCAATTCATCCGAAGGCTGGGATTGAGTTCCAAATTTCCTCGCATTCTGAGTCAGTTGTATTCCACATACATGCCCATTGTACATTTGCAAGCCCTGGACTAGGTCTCTTGACGCCCCTAGCATGTCGAGATGAATGGGTCAGCAGTCACTCATAGCGTGGAGGCTTGTGAAACGATGCTGGGCGGCGCGCCCGATCGCACCGCTGCTGCAAGACTTTGGTTGTAATGGTACATCTGGGCATAGGCAGGCACGGATGTAGCAACAGCAGAAGCAGCATTTAGATTCGGTGAGGGGCCGCCTTTTGGTCCTCGATCCCCTGCTCTCCAGTGCTGCTCAAGCCCGGGATGGGAGTGGAAACCCAAAGGCCGGGGACAAAGCAGGGAGCCATGCAGCGGTGCCTTTGGTTCATGTCACTGCCGGTCTGCATCCTCGGCTTGGCAGCTCCCCGGCAGAAAACAAGACACAGGCTGGGGCATTTAGGCACCTGAGAAGTTATGGGGTTGCGGGAGACAGTAGTAAGTTGAGTTCTGCTCGAGATGGGACCATGCCAAAGCCAGCCAGTTTCTCGGCAGAAACACAATCCACAGGCTTACACTGAAGCATACTGAAGCCTGTTAGAGGAGACGCGCCTTCTTGACACATGACGCGCTGTGCATCTTGTCGTTGCCTTGTTCAAGATGTCGAGCCCTCATGGTATTGACCATCGATGTTCCGATATTTGGTTTTTGGGTGCCAAAGTCAGCTGATGTTTATGCCTATATCATGTATATACCTCCACTCTACTATCACTATCTCTGTCTACAAAGAAAGAGTTAGTTTTATAGTTACGCACACATACACACACAGATATATATATATATGCATAATTATACACAATACATATACGAAACCGTATGTTTACATGTGCATATGTATTATATATATACATACATACATACATACATACATACATACATATACATGTGGTGAATACATCATACTGTACATAGTATGTTGAGGCATCCTGGCCCACTTGGCTTAGCTTCTCGGCAGAGGAGGAGCGAGAGAGTCGCTGAAGCACCGAGCAGTGCGCTTTTCGGATCGATCTTTCTTTTAAGTCTCAAAGTGGTTCATTGATTGACTCACTCATTCATTGTTTCTTCCGTGCGGTCATGCACTCATGCATTGATTTATGGATGCATCCATGCATCTGTTCATCCATCCGTCCATTCAATCATTCATTCGTTGTATTCTTTCACACCGAAGCACGCATGCAGTCACGTGGGCCTGTGCCCACTCCCTTTATACGAGCAGCCATGATTGGATAATTTGGGAGACCAAGCTTACTTGTCGGGCAGTGTGCTTGCGTGCTTTTGACAGGCCGTGTATAGGTGCACGTTGTTGAAGCACACTCACCCACTCAGTGTAAGCGCATGTCACGACCTAAACAAGGAACCGCAAGCCGAACCAACGAAAGATAAACTACATTCCGAACCCCTCACCATGGCACTCCTTCATCGATTGCTCGATGAGACAAGACAGGATGCGCGCCAGCCGTTGGGCTATTTCCTGCGGGCGGTCGACTTTAGCGTGGGACCCAGTTGGGCGCCCACGTCTGTCTAGTCTTCAAGGCTGCCCCATACTTAATCATCTAGAGGTCAAGGACACTCGTTTGCTTCTGGTACTTTCACGGAACTTCCACACACTCTCTGGTTACTGGTGCCCCAACTTCGGGACAACAGGCCTTGGCACGGGTCTTGAGAATTGCTGGACCTCTCGGCTTAGTGTCAAGGCCTTGTTGCAGTGAGCGGCAGCTCATGTCAATAGATCAGACCTTGACCCAGTGCACAAGCAAACCCCGACATGCTTGAGATGGCAATATGCTTGAAGCCACGGAATTCAGCCTAGCAGATCCTTGAGGGAATGTATTTAACCATTTAAGGTACCCAGGGCAAGCCTGTGGAAAAAGGTACCCAGGGCCGTTCAGGAGAAGGCAACTCGTCATTCCCTAGTCGAACAACTCAATCTGATCGGCGGTAGGTGAGAAATTCAGAAGACGAGGTGATTGTCAAATCGTGGAAAGCGCGCAGGTTTCTTAGGACAGAGGCGAGCGTGCCTTTGGCTGGCCAGGGATTGTAACCCTGTAACCAAGAATCCCGAGGCAACTCCAGCTCTTCCGCTGATTTGCCAGAAAAGCTTGCGGCCGACCTGGAGGGCGTCACACACTACAGCCGCCTGGATCCTGTCGTGCTCTTTTGCTTCTGGTCCGGTGGGTCCTCCGGTACATTCGGAGAGGCCAGGTCCGTTTCACTGAGCTCTTGACCTAGGATTGGTACCCGGGATCTTCCCCGATGGGATGCACTTCCACTTTGATGGCCTGGCGACCGTGGACGCTCAGTTGCACTGGACTGCCGCGAGTGAAGGTTTGAGGTGCTTCGCATCCGCTTCAACCGTTTCAGTCAAATCAGTCAAGCTCTTGACTCTGAGCTCCCTGTGCCGTTTGTCTCCGATTGCACTGCCGCTCAGGTGAAGTTCAGCTTTTCAAAGGGTCGCCTCACCTGGACGGCACGGCCATATGAGTCTGGCGCAGAGAAGCGATCCGGCACGGAAGGGTTTGGGACCTTCGGCAGCTGCCTGAGAAATCGTGAAGTATTGTCCTAAGAGGGTCACGGGTCCTCCGGAGGATTTTCTTGTCGTTCGCTCTGTGGAGCCTTCTTTAACAATGGAATGCCAAGTCTTAAATCATCCCTGCAGAGTCGGTACTAGTCATGCAAGCAGTTCAAACGTGGCGAGGCCAAGAGAGCGCAACCGAGTGCGCTTAACCAACGAGTGCATGGTGTCTGAATTACTAGCTCTGCGCATCACCTGCACCCTCCTCACAGGCAGCACTCCTGCGACCCTGTTTTCCCACATTCTCGAAGCAGAATCTAAAGACTCTCCAGTCTTGAACTGTGATGGTGCATCACTGAAATCCGCAGATATGGCCGCGAAGGCACTTCCACTCGTGCATCTTCGGTGGCACTGGTACAGGTCCAACTTTGGGCATCTATCCCTGCTTGACGAACCCGGTCGTAAATCTGCTCCCCATTGAGGACCGCGCACCGTGCATTTGCAAGCAAGCTTGCCGGAGTTATTGCTGGCTTTTCGGCGACTCTTCCTAGACGCCTTGAGACTATCTTCGGCATGAGACTGACACATAGCTCTAGTCCAAAGGAAAGGAACAGGCATCGCAGTAGCGCCCCCGACATCCTTGTGCAGCGCTGTGCTTCCGAAGGATCAGCTTTGGCTTACCACCGACACGTCCAAATGGGGCAGGGTGGACCCTGAGACTTTAGAGACCCTGCCGGATGAAGTGGAGGCGCTTGACCTCGTCAGGGAAATTTGCGGGGGCTTCAATGGCGGTGCCTTGTACTAAATGTGCGCGACAGAGGATTTTGAATCAGTTGAGCCGCACCCTGCAGTCGTCGACAGGCAGACGACCAGACTAATACTAGCTGCAAAAGGAGATTGCAAAAAGGAGATTCAGTTCAATGAAAGCCACCAAAGCTTGGCACTCACGCTGGATACGATCCTGCAACCCATTATTCACGAATACGCTGTTGCACAGCTGTCCCGTACATGAGGTGCGGCATGCATGCCACTAAACGAACTCAGCAGCCTTCTTCGCTGCAGCCGAGTCGTGTGTGCCAGGTGGAGTCCACGGTGCTGAATGCTCATCCAGCATGCGATCCTTCCAGCAAAGCCTGCTTCGTGCAGCTCCTCGCCTTCATGAGACCTGTGTTTCACCAGCATGCAGATTCCAACGGACCATCGAAGTACTTGGAGCACGATCTTGCTATGGCTGGTGGCGTCATTTTGTCCGGAACAGGTACAACTGCGGTTCGAACCGCCAGCCTTTCACGAATCAGGCCCGACGAAGTCCATGCAGACTGTGAGCATCGAGCGCAGCACGCGACTGTGTTGCAGGCTTGCGTGGGCCAACTCCTGCCCGCTGCCCCTTGGCACATGCAGTTTGGTTTGAGAAAGCAGGCTGTACATAGATCCACATGCACTGTTACCATTCGAGGCACAGGGAATGCGGACAGTGGAGATCAGCAGGGTAGAGTTGCCGTCGAGGAAGCTCATCCAGCACAGCGGCCAGGCAGCAAAGACTCGAGTGCTGGCGAGCTTGCTCAGTCACAAGCCGCCAATCAAAGCTAGCTTGCTAGCGGTGGCCTTGTGCCTGCTGATAGGTGCAGAGCAAAAACTCCTATACAGTTTTGGTTGAAAGCTAATTGGTCAACGAGTAGGCAGCAGTACCATCGTGGCTCTTCGCGTCAGATTGAGGCCACAGCCCATGCGTTACACAAAGCTATGTCGTCAGCAAGATCGACAGCTTCACTCCCCGAGATCCCCTGAAGCTCGGCGAAACAAGCTTCTCGTTCTTCACAAGGACTTGTAGTGGATAAGGGCAACGTCTGTGCATCACCTAGCCAAAGATTGGGGGCAAATGGCAGTCTTGCCGCTGACTTTTGAGGAATGGCAACTCGGGTGTCCTGCGCTTCCTCCATCAGGCGAGATCCTGCTTGTGGATCCGCAATGAGCCCGAAAGCAATGCAATAAAGAGTTGCAGTTTTCCGCGTGATTGGCTATAGAGTCTTTATTCCTGGACCGTAAAGCGCTAAACTAGCGGCAAGGCTGATGCTTCACGGAAGCTTCAAGTCGTAGCTGCTGTGAGGCAGAGGATGACTTATGGTTAGTCATGGACCGGAAGACCAATAAGTCCACGATTCTGCGAGGAGGGACTTGCTTGTGAGGTTTCGGAGCGCAGGCCGAGCAGCCATATTCAGTCCGAGCCAAAACATCTTGACACAAGCATCTGTGCGAGGAAGCGTCAACTTCGTCAACAACCATTTCTGGAACTGCTATGAGATGGACGGCAACATTGTGCTTGATGCTTGTTCAGTCGTAGTACCAGCCCATCAGCTCGTTCCTGATGCCTCCGCTCAAGATCCCGAAACGCTGGGTCTGAAAACAGATAATCGATGAACGCGTGCTTTCAGCCTCTAGTGCAGTCCCTGCCTCGCTCAGTGTGACGAGGGTCTTTATTAAACCTTGTTAGATCAGAGAACTGCCTGCTTCACGACGGGATCTGTGGGGTTTTAAGCTCCGTGAATGGGCGAAGCTCCTGAGGAAGCGGCGTCCAGACGATCTAAGGATAGTGTCGCCGCCACAGAGGATTATTTGGACAATTATTTTGAGAAGAACTTGGCAGCTGAGAGGTCGCTAAGCAGCACCGTGCGCAGGTGTCTACTGTAGCAGCAGGGGCAGATGCTGTGTTTTTTTTTCCGGGTTAACTCTGACACGAGAAGGGAACCGTGTGAAAATGCTACAGATGCTTGCTGGGGTCTTTTCACTTGGGCTCCAGTCTGTGTGAGGTTGGTTCTAGTCAGATAAAGCAGACAAATTTCACGACACGTGCAAACAAATGTATGTGTCCGGATGCTTAGGAACTGGACACGCCTTTTCCATCCGGCTCTGCGGTGTTTCCTTCCCGCAGCGACTGGTGGCCCAGTTTCTTGCGAGAAGTTCTTCACCAAGGACCTGAGACGGAAACGGGGTTGCCGCGGTTTCGGCATGCCTTGTCCTGGATCCTGCTGCTCCACCTAGACTCGCAACAGATCTAACATGATACAGCTACACATAGAGTAGCCTCGTAGATGATTCATTGTGCGATAACTTACGCGCCCATATGTGGTTTTCGTGGTACAAGATATGTGTTTCGAGGATGATGACGCAGTGATCTTTGACTACCCGACGTTCAATCCTGCTTTCAAGATGAACCCTGAGTACAAGCTGCTTGAATGCACGCAGGCTTCCATTCACCACGGTTTGCAATTTTGGACGATGGAGTCGATGCTCAAGACGCCCGGGGCGGGTTCGTGGAGGTTTCAACCAACAAACAAGCCCAACTTGGGCCCTCGATGACAGGGCAACGCCTCGATTGGAAGTTCTCCAACATAACCCTCTCCTAACCGAAGATCCAGCCACCGCAGACGACTCCGGCAGCAGAGAGCCCTTCTCGCATGTGCAGAGCATTTCAATCTCTGAGGTCGATGAGGGTTCCGTTTGCAATTTAGGCTGCGGCTCTCCCCCCAAGCTGGATGTGACATTGTCTCAATTGGGCCGCTCAATTCAGCCAATTCATCCCAACAAGCAATTTAAAACCCTTGCACGATTCTTACCGAGGTACTTCTATGCCATCGCCGCGAAGGCACCAACCTCCAGGCATCCACCTTGGCTGGGGCGGTGCAGTTGCTGTGGGAAGCGTGAAACGAAAAGCCTTAGTCTAGAGTCTAGGGGATCAAAGGCAGAGTTTCGTGTTTGTATAGAAATTAACTGCAATCTGGGAGATAACTTTCGGAATGCAAGGGCGTCACCTCGGTGCAAGAGGATTCGAGTGCTGCTCCATGGAAGCTGAAGCCAGGTGGTTCGATGAGCTCATCAAAGTCAATGCGCAGACAAGGCCCTGAATTCGAGTTTACTGTACGCAGTCGGTGCATCTCGGAGCAATGTCGATGATCCCGGATGATTGGGTTACATGGTTACAGCCGTGGGTCCTTCAAGAGTCCGAGATGCACTTCAGAGAAGGTGAGCTGCTAGCCAACCTCGGCACTCGGTTCCACACATTGAGGTGGAAGATGCATGAGTTCCCTTGAACAGGTCCGTGGAGCATGCTTGGTCTGCTCCGGGCATTTACCTGACTGAAGCGGACTTCATCCCGTGGCGGGAGACGGCATTGTTTCAGGGTTGAGGTCTCAGCATGGACGCGGGTACTTCAGGCTTGAGGCGAATTGGTGGTTCAAGCGGGCGGTCGCGAAGAATCTCCAACCATTGAGTGACATGCTTCTGTTGGCAGTCTGCGAACTTTGTTCACATCTTGCTTGTTCCGTCGATTGCTTGTGCAACCAGCACTGACACCATCCTGTTTCCAGCTGGCACCGATGATCTTGAACAGGAGGGTGGTCATCGACCAGAGGATGATGGAATGCTCTTGTCAGTGTTGTACAACACGACGTCTGATCAGAGCAGCCTTGGAATTTTCAGCGCTGCCACTTTGGCACTGCTGCACCAGCAGCCGCTTAGCTCAGTGATCCCGTTCCATGCACATGGCATCGTGTGCGTGGACAGTCGCTGCTACCCCAACCCCTAAGCCCCACAGCCCGACGCCTCAGAATTCGACAGGCTTATCGCCTTTTGCGACTTGTACATGACAGCGCATCTGGCATCGAGCCTGTTTTTGCGGATATGGACAGAAGCTGACAGAAGCTGTCCCTCCTGTAGAGCGCACAGAAAAAGGTGAATCGCTGCGGAGTCTACCAATCGTTTCGGTCGAGTTTCGCCATGAGGATAGTTAAGAAATTACGACCCCTTTG